TTAGTTCATTTAGTTTTCTCGTGTAAATAGAAGTATTATAGATTTTATTTGAAGGAATGTTAGAATTAAATCCAAGATAGAGTTGTTATATTCATTATTACAGACGAGTGATTTTACTATGCATTCATTCAATAAACTTTTAATACGAAGTGTTTTACAAAATTTAAAAATGCTGTGTCCAGAATTATTGGTCAACATTAAGTAGTTTATCGTTGGATTAGTATTTTTGAGAAAGATCTCTTCTGAGAGAAGACATCACATTGATTCTTGATCGGATCATGCGTTAGTTCATAGAAAATTTTCGAAATCTTTCACCGTTTCTCGAAATAAGTACATAAAAACATAGTTATATTTTATTAAAATTCGATGAATTTCAACAGATTTGACAAAATGCACAGAATAACCCATCACTTTTAATATTTTGTGATGCTGTTTCATTCTCGTCTATGTCTTCAGTTAAGTGAGGCAAACCATGATCTGCATCAAATTCTGGATGAGTCAGTTTTCTTTTTAAAATCATAATTTCATTTTGTAAACTACGAACATTGTCTCTATCATTGTTTTTTTCTATATGTTCGCAGTGCTTTCAAATAATAATCGAATGCTTTTTGATAATTTTTGTTTTACAATAAATATCTCCAATACTTTTGTATGAACTTGCTAAATTCGGATCGTCTGTTTTCTTTTCTATATCTAGTACTTTCAACAAATAACTTAAACCATCATCATAATTTTCTTTATCAAACATCATAGCACCGATCATTCTTAGACATGTAATCATGGTCACATGTTCGCAGGTTTGAGAATGATCAAAAACTTCAGAGACTTGTAAATAATATTCAAGTGCTTTGTCAACTTTTCCAAAATAAAAATAAATATTTCCAATCATGTTCAATGTATAACCAATTCTTGGATGATTTTCTGGGATTGTTCGCTTCTGTTGATCTAATTTATGTTGACAAAATCTAAAAGCCATTTTTAAATTATCATTTTTCTTATACGATTTGACAATTAGTATTAGATCGATGAAAAGATGTTGCTCTGTAATAAAATCTTGGTCTAATTCTAATGCTTTTTCATGAATATCGTATTGCTTATAATAATAACTCAATGCAGTATTATAATCCAATTGATTTTCATGCAATAAACCAATATCACCTATACTACTTGCCATATCTGGTAAATGTTCTGTTCGTTCGGCAATTTCATATGCTTCCATAAAATAAAATAAACTTTGATCAAAGTTTTTCTTATGATTTTTTATAATATTCTATAGCACGACTGTATTTTCCAGTTTCCAAGTAAATGCTAGCGATTAAATTCAATGATTGACTTAAATCTATGCGATTACGAGGCGAAATTTTTCGTCGCAAGTTATAAGCTTTCAAAGCCATATCTAATGCTATTTTAAATTGTTCTTTTCGACGATAAATTTTACTCATAGCTTGATAAACATCAGGAATATCTTCATGCTTTTCTGGTAATGTTTGCAATAACATTTGAAAAAATTGTTCTGCAATGTCAAAATGAGCAGATTGTTCTATAAGTAGATTACCAAATAGAATTGGTGGACTTCGGTTTTCGGTTCTTATTGTTAAATTTAAACATTCTTCTCTTGCACTCGATAATTCATCTGTTGCTACCATTTTTACCTTCCATAAATTGTGTGTTGAGTCGAATTCTACTGCTTCAATAAGAAAAACGGTGCCCAAAGAAAAAAGAACTTCTTGTTCACCTTGTGACTGACTATATTTATCAATATCGGCAAAAATGATTTCCGTATTTTGACAATTAACTTCAATTTCAAGTAGAACTACTTTGGATTCATCAGTATTTGTAGCTCCTAATATAAATTGCATGGCAACAGTCAAAAGACGAGATGTTGACAAAAAACCATTAGTAAATATTAAATTACCAATATCATCTTTTAATGCATTAAATTCATTTGTAAACATCATTTGACTACGATATAACTGCAGAATATTTCGATCAGGAATGCATGTACGTTCATTTTCCAATTGTTTACATAAATCAATAATAAAAAATCGAAATATATATAAATGAGTAATATTTTTCTGTT